CAATACCTTTTGATTAGCCTTGTCTCATGCTTTCTTTCTTTATGGTAGATTTTTGTTCTGTTTTCACTGTTTGTTTGTTTGTTTGTTTTTTCACTGTTTTCACTGAGATTTGAATTTGAATGCTAATCAATAAAATCAAAAAATCAAAAATCAATCAAATTTGACCTTAGAACTGAAGAAGCTTCTCAGATGAGAGGTGAAACGTCTTGAAGTAACTTAAAGAAGTCCAGACGCTTTTCTTTGCAAGCTCCTTTGACTATGATGACCTGGATGACTGAGAACCTTCACAGACAAATTGGGTTGGCATATACTGTGAAAGAACCTTCATAAAATTCATGGTTTTCCTGCATTTCTCTCTCTCTCTTTTTTAATACCCTTGTTTGAAAAATAGATTCCTACCTGTCCCCATGTCATACAGGACTGGTACATGAGGCTGCTTGATGGCAATAGCGAACACAGCTTCATGGTTTTCAAACTGGAAAGTTACTAAAAAAAGAAAAAGAAAAAGTACTTATTGTACACTAAAAAGAAGATTTGGGCTTAAAAGACAAGACTGAGTTCCCAGACAATGCAGACCAAGGTCTCCAGTGTTGATATGGTAGACTGTGCTAGTATAGGACACTTTGACCAGCACGTCATTGAGCAGCTCCAGGCTCCTGGACTTGATTATCAATTCTTTCTCACCAGAACCTGTGAATTACAATTTCACAACATTTCATTCCAGTGTCTTCTTTAGATTGAAGTTTGATTGTGAATGTCATAACATATCAAACCCATCATATCATGCAGTGACCCCTCCATGCCCTATTCATACTTTCAGGACATAAATGTTCTACCATACAATAAAGTTAATGACTCAGAACATATTTATTCCTGATTTGCAGTGACCCATCCTTTTAAGATATATATCAGACACAAATCAAGCCAACAAATTAACCTCCACAAAATAACAGATTTGTTTAGTATAGGAGTTCTAGCTTTTTTTGTCACCAATTTGTATATAAACTGATGAGAAGTGCAATCTCACCTTCGACTGTGACCTCTGCTGGTGGAATATCTGTGGTCAGGATACCTTTGGAGACTTTTAAGACCACCTAGAATAGAAAAATCTGAATAAACTAAAAAGTACTCCAAGTAGTCATACTTGAGGAAATTTAAAGTTTCACCAAGTAGAAATACTACAGTGGCAGCCTTGAAGTTCACTGTTTTTTAAATGAAACATACAGACCTACCTTTGGAGAAATATTTGATACCCATCTTGCACCTCTATTATTCTAACAGAGTTTGGTGAGATTTGCCTATCAAGCTGAACTGTTTTATGACACTAACCTTGTAGCTGCTTCTTTTTCCTGCATGCAGCTGTAAACCTAAAATTAAAATGACCACACTGTGACAGCATCCCATGATGGAAAGAAATAGATACGTCAGTGGTTATATTGACCTTATAACAAAGAAAATTTAAAAAGGCAAATGATCAAGGAAGTGACTGAACATGTGAAAATCGAGATCCACCTTCCTGTCTGTAACCATGGTAGCTCTACCCTGAAATTGTGTTTGATAATATATGACATGCTGCAGTGCCTTATTTGGCGTGATTTCTTTTATTACTCATTACCTATGTATTTCTTCATGTCTCACCTGGTATGACAGAGGAGGACAAGGGCTGTACTGTGTAACCTTGGATTGGATACTGCAGAGGAGAGTTGGGCAAAGCAAACAGCAGCTTGGACAGTACAGAAGTTGTCCTGTGGAAGAAATGAGGTGTATGCAAACACAGATCATTTTGACTAATCAAATATAATGACTACAAAGCAACAAATAAGTACTATGAGGCCAAAGGTCAATCTAAGTAGTGGCATTATTGGATAAGCAATACACTTATCCATATGGGAAATAAAGCATGTGTTTTCAACAAACATGGAATCATTTCAGTGTGGCTAAAAAAATGAAAATAGTTAAACACCTCTTGAGTTATGTTTTTTTTAGCTTTTGAGATTTAGTAATATTAGATGTGGTTCCGCCCCAACTGCTGGTTGCTGCCTTGCCCCTTCATCAATATCTGATCAACATTTCTCACTTTTTAAGAGCTGGTGTGACTAGACCTCTATTCTGTGTGTCAACGTCATACATTTCTGGGCCCTATACTACAAAGTGAGATCAACATACCCAGGGTATCTTTCTATTGTTAGGATTAATGTACTTTAAGTAAATTTTAATATTCGTCTTTAAATAATAGTAATAAATATTTCAACATAAAGTGCAGTTTTTCATCCTAAAAAAAATAAGGCAGAAACATAAAAGGTTATTTGAACAGCTTCACCTTTAAACTCTGAGCCAACATTATTCTGTACATTTGGCTAAAACAGTGTGATTATTAAACATTTTAGTAAAAAAAACAAAACAATGGATGCACATTACCTCCATTCTTATTTACTGTCTGTCTCTTGCAGCCAGTTACTTAGACAAACTAGCCTGTTCACAGCTCTCTTTTTTGTTACTGTGTGACCTGCAGGTGAGAACAGTCTCTCACATGGGACAGAAGCGGCAGGACTAATCGAATACTTGTAGGACAGGACAGACAGCTGTGGGTGATTCACTGATCAACTGGACCACCACTGTAGCGGGAAGTCTGTCTCACTGATGGTGGCTTTTGCTCTGCACAAACTCAGGGCCCTTTTACACAGGGCTTCCTCATCTAAATCTGTAGCACATTTTCCAACCCCCTACCACTGATAGTAGTCTACAGTCCCGAGCAATCCATTTTGCTAGAGAATTTGTAAGTTTGTCCTGTGTTGACTTACTAATTTTGGTCCTTGAAACAGTAATTTCATCATGTTTGGGCTGTTGACACCTTTTGTTGGTACTCGAACTGCTAGCGCCAACAGCTCCCACAGTTTCTGTGCTCACTGCCTTGCATTTAGATGGCGGTTTAAGGTTGAAGTGCTTCAGTGGTATGTCAACTCCTTTTTGCACAGTTTGTACAAAACTAAGCTTTTTTTCAAGGCTTCCGTCGGGTAGTCTTTTGAAATGAAATTTGCCTCCGATCAGTCCAAGCAACATGCTTTCTTCTGATTCTTCCATTTCTGTAGCTGTGTGCATCGGTTAATTTGTTTGTTTGTTTTTTTATATGTGTTAGCCTGCTGCCTTAAGCCTGGTCAAGATGGCGCCGGCATGCTGTCTCTTAGTTCTGAAATGTTTATGTATTGTGTTCATACTGCTGTACCTGCTAGCTTTAAAAATGCACTCCTTGTTGGTGTATAAGCAACAGATGCTTCTTAATATCCGTGACTCACTGCTGATGCTCCCCTGCGTTAGTGAGCGATCTGGAGGAGTCCTGCCGCCTCTGGCATCGGTACCAGATAAAATGCATCAACGTGATCCACCCTGGAATCCTTTAGAAAGGAAGCGCTGAAAAAGTGGACGTATACCACTATACTTGCCACTAGCGATCATGGCTGTCACATCAACACCGTGGTGAAAAAGGCCCG